CTGGCTGACTGGCTGGCTGGCTGGCCTGGCATCCACTTCCCCCGCAGCCTCTCGTTTCCAGCTCCATTCCAGCCGCGGCCTCTCGACCGTGCATCTCTCCGGCCCGGGCCCTCCGCCTCGCAGCCCGCACTCCAGCTGCGTGCTCGTTCGGGCCAAGACACGCTCCTACGGACCCTGGAACCGTGGAATTTCGGGGGGAATCCTCGTGGAACGTCTTTCGGCTCTCGATCGGGTCGAAGGTTTTTAGAAAGTTCTTTTGTTGGTCCCTCTTTTGTCGGTCTTGAGGATTTTCTTCGGGATGGGATGTTTGCTTTTTGTTTGGTATTAGTTTGAATTGCGTGACATTTGAGTTTGAACGATAGAAATTTTTTTGCTTTCATTAGGGGAGTCGTTTCGATTCGTATGAGACTTCGATGAGAGTGCAACGTGGAGATTGTATAGAATTAAGGTATTACGTTTCTTCCTGAGATATTTATAGAATGTCTAAGTTCTTAATTACGAATTAGACAATTTTCTATACAGAACGATGATAAAACAATTTTCCTTTGTTCCTTTGTGTCCGCGAGACGTTAAAACGACTCGTAATCATGCGGCGATACAGTGTTTGCGTATTACTCACCGGGATCACTCGTGACATTCTAAGCTTCGTTCGCTAGTTCGGCAGAGCTGCAGCTAACTGAAATGACAGTACGCGCGATGGAATGGGCCGTACGCAGCTGGAAGAAGAGCAAGAAACTGAATAGCGAACATGCTGGGGGTCACTGGGATTGGGCGATAAAGCGTTCACACGTCGGATCGATTAGCGTCTTTCATTCGGATTAATGAGGAATCGATACTAATCCTCGCAGGGCATTCCGCGTGGCTTGGCGCGGTAATTAAGCACGGGTGTCTGCATCTGACCGAGATACATTCGCGCGTCGGTTTTGATTTTGGGGGCAGCCGAGCAGCTTCGCACCCTGCGTGCCGCGTTCAATATTTTACCGACCTGCAGCCGGCTGGAGACACCTGCGGAACAGTCGCGACCTGAACCACTTTAACGATCATTCGATCGATTAACAGCCCGCCGGTACGTCGATGAATAAATGAATAAATTATTACATCACTGAAATCCTTATTCATCTTACGTCATTCTTTTTTATATTTCGCAGGATACAGTCCAGACGCTTGTGCATTAAGATCGTTCGATAGATCTGCTTTATCCACCGACGAATCATCGTTGGACAGGTCGCTGCATTTACGATGGTTGTACTACGATTTTAACAATGATCGGTTGTTGCTCGGTCAGAAAAATGATTGACGAGGGTTTACTTGGAATTCTTGAATCAGACGATTTTGTATAAAAGTTGTAATTGATTGTGGCGTTGTTTAAATAGTGATTAGAAAAGTGTTTAGAGAATTTTTAAAATTCTGAAATTATTTTTAATGTTACAGTTGTTAAGAAGCCTTATTAGCGTTTTAGGATAACGAATAGAATAATAATGAATAACGATCAATAAAATCCTGTTCGAATGAAATAGTTGCAAGTACCCTTTATTAGAATTGAATTAATTATGTATAATATATTAAATATGTACCAAAATAAAATATCAAGAGAGTATCATCGGATCATCGCAATTCTCATACGTTTAATAGAGATAAAGAATTCACGTAGAAAATTGCGATAACCGCATTCTTCGTAAAAGACTTCAGCAGTGTATATTCTCTAGAGATAAAATTTTCAAAAGCGCGCCAATGTTCTCCGACAGCAAAAGATCGTCCGATATCGATTTCGATATATCGATGATTCCGTCCGTTACGCCGCTCAGTTTTTTGAACGCGTTCCGAGCGAGCGCGAGCTCTATCAGAACGTTCTTGAAAAGTTCCTAAAAAGTTGGATAAAAGTGTGAAATATTCGTATTGTGCAGTGTTACAACGAAAACAATGATGTAATCACCTCGGCGCCGCTATAATTTGCAATTCCAACGCAGCAGGAGAGTCTTTTTCCGTGAGTATAATATCCTAACTTACGTCGGTTCAAACTGAAGCATGTAACCACATTTTGTTTTCTGCATGTGTCGAGTAATTTGCTCACTTGATCGTCCAATCCATCTGTAATCACAAAAGCATTCCAATTTATCGATATTTTCTATTTAAATGTAATTGTCTGACCCATTTTGCGGGAATTTCCTATCCGTCTATGTACGCTAATCGAATGGACGTTAAACGGCGTCGTCCATGATGAAATTTTGAATTTCTTTAAACTTACCTTTGAGCTCGACCTTCTCTATATCAGGCGCAATAATAATAAACTTAAGTTTCTTGTATTCACCCTGTTTTCGTGTTTCCTTTAAACCAGAATAATAACGACGTTTGTACAACGATTTGTTTGGATACTTTTCGTGATACCGGTGTTGCAACCTCTGAATTTCACGTAGAAATGTCTCTAGAGTATTGGCTAGCCCCGGTGTTAACATGTTTGTACAGTATCTGCAAAGTGCATAGCGACTTACAACATTGAAATTACATTGGATTTACTTTTGGCCATTAAGGGCCATAAAAATGAGGAAGGGGGATGGGGATCGGGCCACATCATTTTTAAAAAACATTTGAATACTATCGAATATATTATTTATTATGTAAATAAACGTCAGTGAATCCAAGTTACAAATTAATATCTTACTCTTATAGAACACTATGAGACAATGTGTAAGTAATGTATAGAATATAAAACAACTTTTTCCAATTCTCGTAATACAAGATACACATTATACTTACTCTCTAAAATTACGCGAGTACACTAGAAAATTGTTAAAATTCAATTCGAAACTATCTTCGGGCTCTTCTTTAATTTCTTGTTTAATCTCCTGTTTAATATCATCTTTTATTTGAAGGGATAGCGTATGGTTTACAATATCATTTTCAATTTCATCATTACCGATCTGAAAGGGATTACGTCTACAACTGTTAGTTAATGTATTTATCGTGGGCCTGTTTTGAATGTGTAGATCATTTATCTTCTGAATTACATCTGGTCTATAGTATACAGAATTTTCAATAACATTTTCTTCATTTCTCAGTCTGTAGTCTTTGCTATATAGTGTCATTGCACACATACTCTTAACGTAGTCAGCATCTATTTCTGGATCGGCTGTGATCTTCAGTGTATTAAAATCAATATCATCAACATCTTTACAGATAGCCTCCATCTTTGCGCGTTCAAATGCTTCTCTCTTTTGAAGATTAATTTGTACTTTCATGTTACGGTTACACAGGCTTATTCTTCTCAACTTTGTCGGCTTTTTCTGCTTGGCAATCGGTGCTTTAACACTTCTTAAGGTCAAACTTGGATTTCTATTGATTACATTCGTTGTTCCAGGATTCCCTTTATAAATATTAATCCTGAATTTTGGTAGCTCTTTGTTATTCATTTTATTCGCACATCTGGTGCTCTGCAATTACACCTCCATCATATTCTGTTCCATCTATCGCCGCAAAAACATCACATTCATAGTACTTACCTCCAATGCTTCCTGAAGATTAACATAAATTTTATCCGGTCTCCTAAATCTTCGAATGTTCCTCGATCTTTTTGGTTCTATGCTTAATTCAGGTACTATAACTGTTATGGTAGGATTCTGCAGACAATATCTGTTCACTGCAACGGCATTCTTGCTCTTAACAACCGTGCTGTTAAGTTCCGGATACTCAGAGCTGTCCAAGCTTTGAACATTGTTACTTTCTTCTGTATCTGTTAATTCTTTTTTGCGGCCAGAGTGTCTGACCTGATTTGTCTGACATAGTTCTGGCCACAAGTTGTTCGAGTTGCCATTTCCACTGGTGCTAAAAGAAACCAACCAACACACCAAGATAAGAAAATTCTCCACGAATTTACTTTAATGGATTCTACATGATTCAACAAATTACTTACTGAAACGACCATGTCAGATTAACAACCTGCGACTTCAGCATTCTGTCTCGCTGAAAAACGTTTTGTTGTTACGACTTTATTCACCGTCCAACTGTCTACTGCTGCGACCGTTCGACGTTGCCATTTCTACAGCAAAAGCTATTCACAATTGCTATGTACGCCCTTCACTATCGTCAACTACGCAAAACGTACGTCACTGGCTAAGTCGGGTAAACAAAACTACAGTTTCCATTGGGAATTCTTATGCGCTGCCATCTGCTAGAGGATTTTTCGACGGTTGGCAAGTTGGCAGAGCTGGCAAGTTGCCAGCGGCCGTCTTGCCTTGCAGCTCCCACCTTTGCCTACAGCTACTAAAACAGGCTAGCAGCAAAACAGTCATCAAACATTAATAATGTACCAATCAACATTTTCTCATATCATCAATCCTCCACAAAACATCGACACATTACTGAAACAACCAAGGTTCTTAAAAACAAAATCCTTGGAAACTTTAACGGTTACTTAACTCACATCGAATCGCTCAATACTATTTCCCTCTAACTAAAATACAAACAATAGCAACCTCCCTTTCCACTGAATACTCCGATTAAACCATATATAAATCTCTAACTCAACCAGAACAAGATTCTTCGAGCATCCATCCTCCGTTTCCCATCTGCTACACCCCCGATCCAATATTTATCCGTTACACCCAAAGCAAAATGAACGATCGTCCCGGCGAAAGCCCTAGGTCTCGAAAGTCGCGACGCCGGTTCAGCAAGATTAATCCGAATTGTTTCCAGGGAATGCGAGCGTGCCTCATCCCTTATCATTTCCCGCGACAGATTCCGCTCTGTTACGTATACCCTGTTGTTTCTTTCGAAATGATTCGCCTCGGCTCGGCTCGGCTCCGAGGCGTCGGCGTGCACTTGCGCGCCGGATGAAGGACCTGCGCACGTGGCACCGCCTGGCCGAGCCGCGGCCGGATCAATAAATCCCAGGGTATAAAAGATCCTGTCCCCGTAGCGTGGCCACCTCTTTGAGTTCCGGTGATCGGTGTGTCGCGGCACCTCGGGCTCGAACGTGTTCAGTGGCACCTTCGTTTTCCATTCGATTTGTCGGTTCCATCGGACGAGAAAAGAGAGAGAAGGGAGAGAGGGTATAACGAGCAGGTAGCCTCGGTTAAGTGAACTTAGTCGTAAGGTCCAAACAC